GGGCTTAGGAAGGTAACTCAATCAACGAAGAAAGCAGTGGATTGGGATTCAACCTGGGCAGCCTACTTGCAAATCTATAGTGCAAATCTCTAAGCAGGGTAGACCAAGTTCGCCTGACGACATGTTAACCATAATTTCAAAGCTTTCTAAATGCAACTGGCTTGCCGAAACCGGTTTGGCTCAATGGATAGAGCGTCGGCTTGGGGACTGGAGGACCCAGGTTCGATTCCGGTCAAGGGCATGTACCTCGGTTGCGGGCATATCCCCAGTAGGGGGTGTGCAAGAGGCAGCTGGTCGATGACTCTCTCTCATCGATGTTTCTAACTCTCTATCTCTCTCCCTTCCTCTCTATACAAAATCAAATAAAATATATTAAAAATAAATAAATAAAAAATAAATAAATAAATAAATAAATGCAACTGGCTTTTTGAACGCTGTTTCCTGCATGCACCTTGCTAAGTACCAGAAATACAAAGTGGAAGGACAGACCCTACAGAAGAGCTCTTAGAACTTTTATCCTTACAGATAAAATACACTAACATGAACTACATTATAGAAAAGTAGTTTACATATTTTTAATAAATTTTTATTGTTCATATTATTACAAATGTTCCTTTCCCCGCCCTGCTCCATTGCTCCCCTCCACCAGGTTCCCACCCCACCCTCTGCCCTTTCCCCACTCCCCATTGTCCTCATCCATAGGTGCACAGTTTACGTTCACTCTCTTCCCACATCCCCCTCTTCCCTTTTCCCCAAGAATCGTCAGTTCACTCCCCTTCCATACCTGATTCTAGTATATTCAACAGTTAATATTGTTCATCAGATTTTTTTTTTTTTAATTTCCTTGGTTTTTAGATTCACTTGTTGATAGTTATGTATTTGTTGTTCATAATTTTTATCTTTATTTACTCTCTCTTCCGAAAGAACCCCCTTCAGTAATTCATATAATTCTGGTTTGGTGGTGATGAACTCCTTTAGCTTATTTTTTTTATTGGTGAGGCTCTTTATCTGGCCTTCGATTCTGAGTGATAGCTTTGCTGGATAGATTATCTTTGGCTGTAGGTTCTTACTATTCATCACCTTGAATATTTCTTGCCATTCCTGTCTGGCCTGCATGGTTTCTGTTGAGAAATCAGCTGACAGTCGTATAGGTGCTCCTTTATAGGTAACTACCTGCTTTGCTCTTGCTGCTTTTACTATTCTCTCTTTGTCTTTTGCTCTTGGAATTTTAATTATGATGTGTCTTGGTGTGGTCCTCTTTGCATTCCTTTTGTTTGGAGTTCTGTGCGCTTCCTGGACTTGTAAGTCTAATTCTTTCACCAGGTGGGGGAAGTTTTCTGTCACTATTTCTTTCAGTATGTTTTCGATATCTTGCTCTCTCTCATCTTCTGGGACCCCCATAATTCTGATGTTGGTTCGCTTGAAGTTGTCCCAGAGGTTTCTTACATTATCTTCAATTTTCTGGATTCTCTTGCCTTCTAGCTTCTGTGGAGGAGAGTCTTCTGGCTCTTTATGTTCCAAATCTTTGACTTGATTCTTGCGATCTTTCATTCTGTTTTTAGGACTCTGTATAATATTTTTTATTTCAGACAATGTATTCTTTATTTCTTGTTGATCCCTTATCATTTCTTGTTGATTCCTTATTAATTCTAATTGATCCCTTTTCATATCCTCATAGGTCTTATCGATCTTTTCTAGGAAATTCTTGAAAAACCTTATAAGCGTAGATTTGAACTCTATATCCATTCACTTTTTTTCCTCCATTTCTTTCATTTGTGATCTTTTTCGTCTCGGCATTTTCGCAGCTTCCCTGATGGGGCGGGGGTTTCAGGGTGGAGCCTACAGCCTTGGTTTCTGTCAGCCCCGCCCTATGCGGTTCCTGGGTCTCAGGGTCCTTCAGTACTCGCTGCAAGCGCCTCTGAGAGAAAGGTGCCCTCGATTTTCGCCTGCTACCAAACAGTTTAGGCTCTCCCCCAATGAGCCTGGAACTGGGGTTCAGTTCAGTTGGACGTGGGATTGGAGGTGGCATTCAAAGCAGTCTGGAGCCCCTGATTCCTTCCCGCCAGGGCAATCCCGTGGCACAGCCAACCATCCTTTCTCTGCGCGCAATGTGTGTGCCTCCGGGACCTACTTTCGCTGCTCCCCCAGGGCTCCGCCTTACAGCCCAGCTCCCTCTGTTTGAGCCTGGGTTCCCGGAGTTTGGCCTAGAATTGGGGTTCAGAGCAGTCGGAACTGGGGCCCAGCACAGTTGGGGCTTTTATCTCCTTCCCGCTAGGGAACGCCAGCCAGGCACTCAGTCGCCCTCCTCTCCGGCTCCGTCCTCTCCGCGCCGCGTGTCTCCGTACCTTAGGCTTTTACAGCTCCTTCGCTCTTCCTTCTGGTTTTCTCCTTGCTTCTCGTTGTAGAATTTCCAGTCAGTCGACTTTCCTGTAGTTCTGGGTAATGTCCATTTTATATTTTAGTTGTATTTTATTGAAATTGTTGTGTGGGCTGCGGCTAGGTATTTACCTGTGCAGCCATCTTGGATCGATCTCCAGTTTACATATTTTTAATTTCCACATTCACATTGCCTATCTCATTGCCAAACTGTGGCTCGCGAGCCACACGTGGCTCTTTGGCCTCTTGAGTGTGGCTCTTCCACAAAATACCATGACTTGGGCGAGTTTATTTTGAAGAAGTGGTGTTAAAAGAAGTTTAAGTTTAAAAAATTTGGCTCTCAAAAGAAATTTTAATCGTTGTACTATTGATATTTGGCTGTTGACTAATGAGTTTGCTGACCACTGGCCTATCTGATTATGTATCACATTATCTTGACACTTTCTCTAGCCATAATAAACTTCTTTCATTTTGTCCACAAAGGCATACTGTCACCCCTAGGCAATCACTAGCTTAGTGTTCTGTGCTTAGAACATGGATCAATTCTTCTTCCAGGCTGTCTCATCTTCCTCAAATGGCTACATATTTATGCAATTTTGAGTAGAAAATAGTATTACACTAAATTATCTGTACAATTAGCTTCACAAACTGTGAAGGCAGGAACCCTCTCTGTCTTATTCAACACAACATCCTGTGTCTAACACTTTCTAGGCCACTCAATGTTTGCTTAATGAAAAAGCGCTCAGTTATGTAATAGGGATTGTCCTTAAAGCCTGGGTACAACGTTTTAAGTTACATAAAGACAACAGTCATGTTTATCAAATCTGCATATGCACACTGCATGTTTGTCTACATATATGCATGTACATGCATGCACACATACTGTATATTCCCTTGCTATTTCTACTGAAAGGGCCAAGGAACAAAAAGTGCACCTTGTGTTCAGATGTTGACCTCTAACCCTATTCCCCACTAATTGGGACTGGGGTTCCTTGGAGAAATACTGATTCCAAGGCTGGACAGGGTAGGTACAGATAAGCTTCATGCTATGCCAAAAACGAAGTACTCAAGAAAAATGGAGGGAAGAAAGGGTGAAGAGGTGGAGCACAGAGGATTTTTTAGGACAGCGAAACATATCTATATGATACCGTATGGTGGATATGTCATTATACATTTGTTCAAACTCATAGAATGCACACCACCAAGAGTGAACCCTAAGGTAAACTATGGACTTTGGATTATACATGTCAATGTAAGTCATCAGTTGTAACAAATGTATCACACAATGTATAGCTCTTACAGAGAATACTTGAGCTATGCATAAGTGAGGTCGGGGCATATGGGAAATCTCTCTTTCAGTTCAACTGCTGTGAGCTTAGAACTGCTCTAAAAATAGTCTACGACAGGAGTGGGGATGGGCTAGAGGAGGTAGATAGGAGGGAAAAGGGGGCATATGTAATCCTTTCAATACTAAAAACTAAAAATAAAAAATAAAATGGAAAAGAAACCTGGTAATTAATTAAAAAAATAAAAATGGTTTATCTGAAAAAGAAAAGGGGGTATATAACAGAACAATCACAAAGGAGCTCAAATCTGGGAATTTGAGCACAAAAATATCATTGGAAAAAGAATTCATCATCTCACACACACACAAAGAAAAAACAAGGGTAAAGATAGGGAAGGCTCTTTAAAAAGCCAACAGAGTCCTAGAGTTGGAAACTCAGCATAATTCAACACAGACAGGATCATCAATGGATGCTAAAACTAGGAGAAACTTTGATGAAGAGTAGGATCTCTGCATGATCTTAAAGTGATCTCTACAGACTGCTTATAAATTTCAAAGAAGGAAAAAAAAACTGCAATTATTCAGTAGAAAAATCAGAGGCCACTTTGGCAGGATAATCAATATTAAAATCACCAATGAGAAATAAACAGACACTGTATACAACTCCAAATGTGATACACTGAGAAGGCCATAGCATGATTTCTACAGTATTTTGGCTAAAAATGTATTAACTTTAATTACATAGAAACATGAGACAAACCCAGAATGAGGAATGTCCTATTTTAAAAACGGGGCTATATTTTTAATATATCAGTATCATAAAAGACAAAAACAGACCAGGAAAATGCTGAAAGGAGGTTAAAGAGACATAACTATATGCAATACCCAATCCTAGGATAGATTCTATACCAAGGAGAAAAAAATGCTAAAGAGGCATTTTTCAGGTCAATTAAAAATTAGAATACAAATGATAAGCTAGAAATATTGTATTAATAAAGAACATTTTTTTTTCTAAAGGGGGACTTAAAGAGACACAGCAAAAGAAAAAAAGATTTTTAGTAACAGCTAAACATTGATTTGACCACAGGTTATATAACAGAGTATCTCTTTCTTAGGAAACATTGAAATATTTAGAGGTGATGGCCATAATTTTATAACTTATCCTTAAGAGGTTTGGGGAAGAGGAAAAAAAAGGTTCGGAAAAAGAGTGCATATATGTGCATATATGAGTGGGTGTGGTATGCACAAGAGAAATATTGATTAATTTTATCATTCCCATAGATAAGTACATAATTATTCACTCATAACATTACACATGTGATAAAAAGGGGAAACATACCTGAATAGGAGATGGCTTTTCCCAGCCCATTTCAAAAATTCCCATCAGTAACTCCCGCTTTAAACAGTAATCTTCAAACTCATTTCCTTTTGTGGAGGTTACATCCTAGTCAACCAAGCAAAACAATAATAAAAGAATAAAGTACAACTGTGTTCTTTTGTTAGCTAGTATGCTTAAGCAAATTTGTCTGAGAAACTAATTTTTTATCCACCCCTTTTAAGATGTAAATATATGCAGATTAGCTCTGTCCTGATCTGTATTTCCAGGCCATTTAAAAACTGTGTTTGGAGTAAAGGCCACTCTGTGATCATATTCTTCTAAGGAACAGGTGGAATACTCTAAGAATCATGCTGTGAAATTAAAATCCCAGATATGAAATCAAACCCTCACTGCCTACAAATAGCCTAGTCAAAATCAGGGCTTCTCAAGCTCAGCAATATTGACATTTGGGCCAGAAAATTCACTGCTGTAAGGGGCTATCTTATAGCCTTTCCCGAACTGCGATAACCAGAAATATTTCTAGCTGTTGCTAAATATCTCTTGGTTAAAAATACTGGGCTAAGAGAACTAACCCTTTTCAACTTGCAGGGGAGCGGGCCTAAGCCATCAGTCGGACATCCTTAGCACTGCCATTGAGGGGGAAGGCTCCCACCACCACTGCTGCGCTCACCAGCTGTGTGCCTGGCTTCTGGCTGAGCAGCTAACCTCTGTGGGAGTGTACTAACCACCAGGAGACATATTCTACATTGTCTGCCCCCTGGTGGTCAGTGTACATCATAGTGACTAGTCACTCCTCCCTCAGGCTGAAACTGGTTCTCCGACAGCCTTGAGGGACTCAGACTGTGAGAGGGTGCAGGCCAAGCCAAAGGACCCCACTGGTGCACAATCAGAACTGAGAAGGAATATGGGAGAGCTCCAAGGTGTGTCCACAAGCTAACTTACCAATCAGAGCATATGCTCCCTGGTGGTCAGTGTAGGTCTTAGCAAGCAGTTGAATGGCCTTAGCATATCATTAGCATATTACGCTTTGACTGAACAGTCAACTGGACGACTGGATACTCAGCACATTAGTCTTTTATTATGTAGGATTAATTAGAGGCCCAGTGCACGAATTCATGCACAAACTGGGTCCAGCCCATTCGGGCCAGGGGGCGGGGATGTGGGAGGTCCACCTGCTGGCCCGTCCCCTGGTCAAATTGCCAGTCAAGGGGACAATTTGCATATTAGCCTTTTATTACATAGGATTACTTCACTTTTAGAGTTTCCACACCATCTTAAGTTAAATTTTACAATCAACTTACCGAAGTTTTGATTCTTAGATCCTTTGGAGGGAGTTTTAAAGTCTTTTTCCAGTCATCACCAGGTCTAGAGAGAATGTAGTAAAACTGAAGTATGAGAATTCATAGCATCATATTCTAATACAAAGATAATTCATTTCAATTATAATCCTATTAATAAAAGCCTATGTGGTCATGACACCCTCACACCATAACGAGCGATCACCAGAAGGCTGCGTGTGCAGTGGGTGCACACGGGCAGACAGGAGCTTGATGCTGTGTGCGTGGCGTGGAGGCGGTTCTTGTGGCTCCGTGAGGCACGTCCCGAGGTTCTGGCTTACCTTTTTGGGACAACTGATTGCAGGGCTCCTGCACTGTGACAGGGCACAGGCCAAGCTAGGCCTCCCCCTGTCCAGTGCACCATTTTCATGCACTGGGCCTCTAATTAAGTTATAAAAAGCAGAATAAGTTTAATATATTGCAATTTACTTAGGAATATAGTTAACAGCCCTGGCCTGTGTGGCTCTCACACACCAAAAGGTTCACCTGGTTGATTACCCATGGGAAGCAACAGATCAATGTCTCTCTTGTATTAATATTTCTTTCCTATCTTCCTCTCTAGAATCAATCTAAAAAAATCTAATATATAAAGAATATGGTTAACAGAGATAAACATATTATGTATGTGTTTTAATTTAAGCTAGTTACCAATATTAAAAGATTAGAAGATTTTGTGTAAATGTCCAAATTCTGGCTTTTCCTGTAAAACTGGAAGCTTTAGCAACATTGTTTCCAAATTTCTGCATGGCAATAGTTTGACAGAGCATAGTAACTGAGTTAAAGTCAAGCAGCTAACCCTTTAGAGGGCAAGTATCCTCTCATCTGGCACAGCCATCTGAGTTGGTAACTCTGGATACTAGTTAAAACCAAGGACTCCAGCCCGGCTGCAATGGCTCAGCGGTCGAGCATCCACCTATGAACCAGGAAGTCACGGTTTGATTCCCAATCAGGGAACATGCCTCGATGTGGGCTCAATTCCTAGCATATGGCGTGCAGGAAGCAGCCGATCAATGATTCTCTCTCATCATTGATATTTCTACCTCTCTCTTGAATTAAAACAAAACAAAACAACACACCAGACTCCAGTTTCATCCCTGACTCTACCATTTATTTTTTGACCATGCAGCAGGTACTTTTCCAAGTTTCCATTCTCATATATACAACGAGTTAAGAATTATATCATATAATTTACAGAAGGCAATCAGCATAGAGTTATGCGTGGTCCCCAATGGGGGCGGCCTGTGGGGAGGGGTGGGGGAGAGGCAGAGACTGGACAGCCAATTCTTATCATTGATGTTTCTCTCTCTCCCTCTCCCTTCCTCTCTGAAATCAATAAAAATATTTTTAAAAAATAAATAAAAACAAAAAAACTCCTTTAAAAAATGAACTCCATAAGATCTATTAATGAACATCTCTCTTAATCTTTGTTACCAGGTAAGCTGTAAGCAGCTGCCAACCTTTCAACCTGGCGAGCCACCAGTTGGCGACTGCTGCTCCAAAGGTTTCCTTAAACCAGTGGTCGCCAACCTTTCGGACCTCACAAACCACTGGTTGGCAACCACTGCTTTAAACTATGAATATAGTTAAAAAACAAGAAAAATACAATTTTTAAAATCTCTTTTAGGCCAGACAAAAACCTCTATTATATACCCAAAGCATCTAATGGGGGGGGGGGGGGCAATAAGGCAAACATGCTTTTCAACAGTGTTGCCTTTAAAATAAATAAGTTTTGCCCTGGATGGTTTGGCTCAGTGGCTAGAACATCGGACTGCAGACTGAAGGGTCCTGGGTTCGATTCCGGTCAAGGGCACATGCCTGGGTTGCAGGCTCGATCCCCAGTAAGGGGTGTGCAGGAGGCAGCTGATCCAACTATTCTCTCTCATCATTGATGTTTCTATCTATCTCCCTTCCTCTCTAAAATCAATAAAAATAAGAAAATATACTTTGCCGAGACCTGTTTGGCTCAACGGATAGAGCGTCGGCTTGGGGACTGAAGGGTCCCGGGTTGGATTCCGGTCAAGGGCATGTACCTTGGTTGCAGGCATATCCCCAGTAGGGGGTGTGCAAGAGGCAGCTGATCGATGACTCTCTCTCATCGATGTTTCTAGCTTTCTATCTCTCTCCCTTCCTCTCTATACAAAAATCAATAAAATATGTTAAAAAAAGAAAAAAAAGAAAATATACTTTAAAAAGTAAGTTTTTTGCCCTGGCTGGTATTGTTCAGTGGTCAGAGCTTCACCCTGGGGAACCAAAGTGTCTCTGGTTTGATTCCCGGTCCAAGAGTTCGCTTCCCATCTCTGGTGGGGGTGTGTACTGGAGGCAACCAATCAATTGATGTTTCTCTCTCCCCCCCCTCCCTCCTTTCCACTCTCTAATAGCAATATGGGGGTGGGGGGCAGAGGAGATATATGTTTACATTGATTTCATTATAGCCACTCATAATCAGAGCTTCCAAAGCATTAGAAGTCTTGATTTAGAAAGATGACCACTTATTTTACTTAAAGCTAGGTTCTATATAATCAAAGACACTCTAAGAAAAGTACCTATTTGCTACCACTTCCAAGAGTATTAAAGCCTTCTACCTCAATCTATACCACAGCAAAGTTTCTAAGCACAAAAATGTCAGCTGAACATCCTACTAGGCCAGCCTACCAAATTCAACAGTCAAATTCAACAATGAATAAAGTACAGAGGATACAATGCAAAATTTGTCCACAAGGAATTTAGAAACCAAACTACTAAAACAAGTGATAGCAGTGGTATTAGAAGAGTCCTGTAATCCCCGGAAAAAAAAAGTAAAGCCCACTGTTGTCTCAAATTATTCTATGTGTGTGTGTAATAGGAGGAAGCTTATAAAAAATTTAAGCTAAGTTGCAAAAATTGAAAAAAAAAGTTATGGATAAGTTTTGAGTACATTTGGAGGTAAGAAGGCTAGGCAAGTCCTTACATTTGAAACTTGAAATTGACTTTAAATGTCATTTAAACTAGGACATGGTGCCGTTATACTAAGGAAAAAATCATACTGACAAAAACAAGATGAATCTGAGCTAATTATGAAAGCCAGCGATGTTTAAAATATAACCTATACAAAATTAATATATATCATCTGTACCTATATTCATTACTTAATAAACCTGAATTATGACAGAAATACATTATTCTATTGCAAATACCTAACGGCCATAAAACATCTGTCTTCCACAATCAAAATGGTTGAAGAATACAAAGAGTAGTCATTAACAAAGTAATAAAAAGACATCTCCAAGTATGTTTATTTCTTCTAGCACTTACTTAATAGTGGTGGTCATACTCTGTGCCTGCTGCTGAGTGCCGTTATTGATTGTGTTGGTGTTTTTCAGTTGGTTCATCTGTTGCTGTGTCGGTGTGCCCCCTCCTCCGGGACCACCACTGGGCTTCACAGGGCCCCTCAGCTGACCGTTTTGACTGGACAGACCCATTATAACAGGGTTCTCTGTTCTGGCCGTGCTCATGCTGTATTAAATGTACAGATGTCTCTTCCAAACTTCAAAACTTTTGAAAATCAGTAGAGAAACTGTAATACAGTTTATTAGGCTCTCCAAAATGAAGAGATAAATATAAGTCTTGCTCAATATTGAGTCCTTTATTGCAATGCAGGCAAGCACCTGTAAGTCTGTGAACAGTAAGCAGCAGTAACTTGCTCTCATGCACCGAATCAACTTTTTATTTTTTAAAGGTTCTCTAACGAGGTTTGGTTATATAACTGAATTCACTCACTTCAATCTGAAACAAAGAAAAAGTTAAGTTAGCAAACACACGAAGGTTAGAAAAAACTGTTTCCCCTAACACTTTTTTTAAATTAAAAAATTAAGAATACAACTGCACTTAGATCACATCATTAGCCAGGCTAATAGAGACACAAAAAGATGACCTGTACACAAAATCAAACCCACAATGAAATCAATCTCAAACTTTTAAATTGTCAGCTCAAAGCAACCCAGAGAATTATTAGTATAAAGATACAGTTCTCAAGTGACAACATCTTCTCTTCCTCCCTGAATTTTCTAAAAGTCAGTTCTCAAGTGACAACATCTTCTCTTCCTCCCTGAATTTTCTAAAAGTCAATGATTCATTCCACTTAATTGCATCACAACTCAAAAAGGTATCTCACAGCTTAAGAGTAAATCTACATATGTACAAGGCAAGACAAATTTCTTCTATTTCTGACAGCAACTGAGAATCCTCCAAGAGTTATATAAGCTTTTGACTTAACTTATGCTTTTAGAAATATAAAACCCATTTGTAACCTTATGAATTTCAAGTGCAAAAATTAAACTTTATGAAGAAAAATGCATTTTCCTTTTTTCCTTAAGTTCTTGTCCTTTAAAACTAACTGAAGCAGGAATATAGACATGTCTACATGTCACAATATTTTGCTTGAAAACAGCCAGGAATTGAATATTAAAAAAAACTGTTAGCTGGGCTGGTGCGGCTCAGTTGAGAAGAGGCATCAGAACCCAGAAGAAAGTGAAGATTCAATTCCTGGCCCAGGCACATGCCAGCGTTGGGGCTGATCCCCAGTAGGGGGCGTGCAAGAGGCAGCCTTTTGATGGTTTTCATCGATGTTTCTCTCCCTCTCCCTTCCTCTCTGAAATCTATTATATATATATATATTAAGGTGGTTAACTTCCTCCATTTTTAATTATTCCCCAAACCGAATTCATATATTAAAATGAAGTGAATAAAAAATTTACAAAGGCCAGACAGGAAATAAATGCCTACTCTGTTGGATTTGTTCCTTTTTACCTCCTTACCCAAAATACACAAGCTTATTAATTAGCGTTTTTGTCATATTCCACGGCTTCTCAAACAAAATTTTTTCTAAAATACTTATGCCTTAAAAAAAGAAAGTTGCTCACAAGCAAATCCTGATGATCTCAAACACAAAGAGGTATTATTTCAAAGTCTCCCAGAATCTGATTAACTTCTTAGGCAGATCGTGGTTAACAGTTACCTAGTTTCAAGGCGTGAATGGTATCCTATAGTGGCAGGTTTATTTTATGATCAACAACATCTTTAGTTCGCACCAGAAAACTTGTTTGCGAAGTAGGAAAGGATGAAGAGGGCAACCTCCGAAGATTAAGTGTCATTACCATCCATCTTGTGCGGAGACAGATTCAGATCCCCAGAGTGAGACTGCGTCCCTCTTAATTAAAAACGAAACTGCACTGCAGCAGTCTCCGAAAGGGAAACGTTCCTCCCACCCCTTCCCAACTCAGACGTGCAACTTCTCTCTCTACGTTTTTAAAAGTTGGAAGGAAACGCAGCCCCGCGGGGAGGACCCCACGCCGAGTGGATTACGGCGTTTCCCCGGCTCAGCGAGCAATTGACAGTTTTCCTCCCGAACAGGCCGTCACCCCGCGGGCCTGGGCCTGGGCTGGGGCTGGCTCACGGTGAAGAGGAAAAGGGGAGGAGAGAAAGGGGAGTAAGCAGCAATAAGGAAAGGCGCAAGCCGAGGGTTTGAGCCTCGTAATTGTAAGATAATAATTCAATTATTTCTTGCTCTCCCGCCCACTGCCCCCACCCCCCTCCCCCCCAAAAAGACACCCTCAGTCCAAGTCCGCTCCGCGACCATAAACACCCGGGCCGGGCCTGCAATCCTATCTGCGCAACAAGAGCAGGGACCGAACCCGCTCCGAGGGGAGGAAACAATATGGAGTTTCCTCTAAGGCCCCACCGAGGAGCCCTGACCCCAAAGCCCTCCAGCCCTGTCCTCCACGGCCCGGGCGCCAGCGACACCCTCTCGCCCCGGCCCAGTTCCGCCCAGCAGCTGCGCCCCTTCCCCGGGCCCTCGGCGGCTGCCCCCGCCGCCCCCGAGGCTGCCTCGTACCCGGTCACCGCCATCGTGGCCCGGGGTCCTGGCGCCCAGCCCTCATTCCCGCTTCTAGAAAGGTCCTCCGAGCCCGAGGCCCGCTCTCCGCGGACCCCGCCGCGCACCGCATCCGTATCCGACTCCTCAGCGCCCGACGCCAGCTGCCGCCTGCCTTCCTCCCCGGCCCGTCCAGGCCTCAGCCGCCGCCTCTGGGCGCCCACGCCGTCGCCCGGCTCCCCGCAGCCCCAACTGCGCCGCCGACCCCACCCCCGCCCTTCGCCCAACTCCCCGGCTCGGCCCGAGCCCTACCGCCGAGGCAGCTCCGCTCGCACCCTCGGCCCTTTATTGTTGACTCGAAGCTCCCAAAATGGCGGCGCTCCTTCCTCCTCGGCTCCAGCGCCGCCCCGCCCGCCGCGCCGCCGGCCCCGCCCCGCGCCGCCGGACCCGCCCCGCGCCGCCGGCCCCGCCCCGCGCCGCCGGCCCCGCCCCGCGCCGCCGGGCCCGCCCCCTAAGCCCTTGGGCCCGCCCCCGCCCCATCCCCCCCGCCCCTGTCGGCCCGGCCCAGTCTCAGCCCCGCCCCGCACCCCCATCGCGTCCCCCGGCCCGGCCCCGCGTGGTAACCGCGCCCCAGGCCCTAATCCCGCCGCCGCCCGCACTCAGGCCGCCGCCGAAGTCGCCGCTGGCCACTGGCCGCCTCGCTCCGGCGCCCGCCCTGGCCCGCCGCTCCCGCCTTACTCCTGTGCCCCCGCGTGGCGGCGGCTCTTCTCCGCGCAAGATGGCGAGCTCTCCGGCGGCGCCGCCGGCTCCCGGCTCCCGGTTCCCCAGCTCCCGGCAGGGGTCGGCGGGGCAGCGATGCCCTGCGGAGGCCGCGGACGCCGGGCTGGGAGAGGGGCCGGCTGCCCCCCAGCGGGAGGGAGGGCTGGGGGCCCGGTGGTGACCGAGGCCGACCTGCACCTCTTGCCCCGGGACGCGCCTGAGCCGGGCCTCCCAGGCCACAGCTCGGAACGGGAGCGGGCCGGCCCGCGGCGCCGGAGCAAGGCCGGGAAGCTGCGGGGAGCCCCCTGCGCTGGGAATAGGTTCTGAAGGACAAGGGGTTCCGGCCGGCCTGACCCTCACCGGAAAGGTATTGTGTGTCCCCAGAAACACTTTTACTGTCCCGTCAATCCTTAACAGAGCAACAGGAAAGCGAGGTTGTTCCAGGTGAAGCAAAACGGAAGCTGGAAAGCTAGGTCGGGGGAAGAAAAGCCCACGACAGTGCCCTCACCCAGCTGAGACCCAGTGCCCAGGACAGCGGCCAGGCCCGGTGAGCCCGATGCCCAGGACAGCGGCCAGCCCGGTGAGGGCACAGCTCTGACCACATCTGCAGTGCCCAGCAGCGGAGGTGAAACCACCGCCCCTGCAGGAGTCAGTCTGATGGGTCTCCATGGTCTGACCACCAGCTTCCCTCATTTTTGCTGCTGCTTCCAACCCATCAGATAAAGTTAAACATGTTCCCTAATCAGTCACACAAGGTGTCCCTGGAATAGCCCGCCTCCAGCTTATCCTCCAAACCCTCCAACTTCTCTTTGTTGGTCTTTATGCACACAACCAATGGAAAGGTGATAAAGAGGTGTGAAAAGGCTGTTGTTGAGATAAAAAAGATTCCCCTTACAGTTTTTAAAATGCTTCATTTGTAGTGTGCCATGTGCCACCCAGATTTTAAAACACTCCTGTGAGGAAATAACCTGCACCTTGTGCCCATCCTGGAGAGAGGGGGCGAAATGGCTGCCTAATAAAACGTTAAAAAGGGAGGCTTTTGTTTAATGTTAGGGGAGAGGAGCCTGAAGGTCTGAAACAGCCTGTGGGTTTCTCCCTGCACAGCCCAGAACAGGCCAGGGGACAGAAAGGGGTTTGCCTCATAAATGAACTCACCTTCCTCAGGGACTTGGCTGAAGTCCTGACGGAAAAACAAACGTGAGGAAGCAGCCAGAAGTAAGATACGAAATAGCTGCCCATTTTTACCTGGGAATCCTGTAAGGGCTAAAACATAAACTTGACTAGAGGCCTGGTGCAAGAGAATCTGTGCACTGGATGGAGGGGGGGGTCCCCTCAACCAGGCCTGCACCCTCTCGCAGTGCAAAGCCCTCGGGGATGTCTGCCTGCCAGCTTAGGTGGCTCCAGTCAGACATTGTCTGGCAGCCCGGGAGCCCCTGGGGTTTGTCCACTGGGGCTCGGCTGCAGCCAGACAGCCTTAGCACTGCTCCAGGGCAGGAGAGGCTGCCGCTGCCGCTGCCGCTGCCGCTGCCGCTGCCGCTGCCGCTGCCACTGTGCTTAGAGCTGTGAGGCTGGCTTGTGGCTGAGTGGCGCTCCCCACTGTGGAAGCATACTGACCATCGGGGGCAGCTCCTGCGTTGAGTGTCCGCCCCCTGGTGGTCAGTGCGTGTCATAGCGATGTCGTTCAGGTCGTTAGGATCAATTTGCATATTACCCTTTTATTATATAGGATGTCAGCTCTTTTCAGTTTCCTGATGAGAAGCATAGACAGTATAAAAATTTTTTTTTAATATATTTTATTGATTTTGTACAGAGAGGAAGGGAGAGAGATAGAGAGCTAGAAACATCGATGAGAGAGAGTCATCGATCAGCTGCCTCTTGCACACC